AAAAAAAAAAAAAAAAAAAAAAACCATAACAAATACAGACATGAAGTGCTCCTAAGGATGCCTTGCTTTGAGTAAGTTTTCTTGGCTGCAAACATGTTTCAGTGCCTGTTAAAGTGACTTCGGCTTGCACAGCAGTGCACAAACACGGCACCCCTGGCCGACGAGGAATGTGTGCAGCGCCAAAGGAGTACAAGCAAAGCCACAGCTGCTCTCCCAAGGAGACACAACCGAGCAGCAGAGCTGGTCATGAGCAGTTCTACTCCAGTAAGACAAAAGGAAATGGCAGCCTTGTGTGCAAGTGCAAGCCCCCGTGCAAGAGCACTTCTACACGACGGCAGAGGTTCCTTTCTGAARGAAGGAGGGCAGGTTAATGCATGGCCTTGAGCTGCAGCACAATGAAGCTACACAACACACGCATCATCAAATGTTTTTCCTCCTTCATCCCTTCCTCCTGCACATGCATTTACCTGAAGCTCACATTTCAGCTGCTCAACTTGAAGTTCTAGTTCCTTCTGCATCTGCACAAGACTCTCGTTCTCCCTTCTGAGAACTTCTTTCTCAGCCTTAAGCTTTTCATTCTCTTCAACCAGCACCTGATCTTTTCTTGGTTTTTCCAAACCGTTGTCAGATGCTGAGCCAGAAGATAACATTTTTTCCCTTTTAAAAAATTAAAAGGAATTAGTTAGAAAAAAATGGTGCAATCTTCCTGCTACAGTAAGGTGAACTAGTACAGAACCCCATATCAGAAATATTACATGAGCATCTACACAATCACTCTTTATAATTTCCATCCCTGTCATACCACATAACTGGAGCTGGAGAGCATCTAGAGCAACACAAAACCTGACACAACTAGGGAAGAAGAAGAAAAAACAAACAACGGTGTTTAAAGAAAAAAAGAGAAACGGAGAAGCTCCAAACGAAGCTGATCCTCTAAATGTTTGCACATTCACTTTAAAATAATTTTCTATCCACAAGCATTTTGCTATACCACACTGCAACGCCCAAAAAGTCAAGACTGACTCTAACTCTACCTACTTAATAGGCTAGAACACTCTAAAGATGGGGTCTGGGTTCTGCAAATTAAAGTGAAGAACTGAAGAGTTGTCTGCTTGGTTGTTGTTCTTTAACAACCGGGCACAGCAGCACGCTGCAGCCTCTCACGTCACACACGCTGTGTCACTAGCTCTGGGTCATCCCCAACCCCAACGCAGGGGTTCAGTAGAGCACAGCTTCTGTTCCCACATTTCCTGCAGGACCTGCCATCCCAAGAAGGGCTCCAAGGGGTAAAGAGTTAAGGACATAAGAACGTACAAATGGGCCACAAAATCTGCTGGCTGCCAGCACAGAGGCCAGCCAGGACTCCCTGGCGTACAATGAAGTTACAGCACAGAGGGAAACAAAGGCAAAAGGAAAAAAAAAAAAGAAAAAAAATCTTTAAATCAAATTCAGAGAATCTCCAGAATTCAGGAAAGACAGATTCAAAATAATTCATCATGAAATATTTTACTATAAATGTAAGCTTTTTTTAAAAAAAAAAMCTCTTATTTCACATTAGTTATTATTTTGTTAAGAGCACAGACTTGCCTAATTGATCTACTTGCCATTCTACCACGTGGAAAGCAGAACACTCAAGTTTCATTAAAACACCCGAAGAGTTCAAGTTACGGTACATTGGCAAATGTACTTTCCTTTTTTTAAAATCAATAAAAAGGAAGGTTCCTGCTTGCACCATCTCAACTTTCCGAACGGCAAGCACCATCTTTCCCACCCACAAACATTTTACCTCAGCAGCCGGTTGCCATGACAGCCCTAGTTCTCTTTTTAAACGTTTCTAAGGACACCTATAGCTGCTAACTTTCCAGCACCTCTTTTCAATGAAATTATAAGTCGCAAAGATGACATTATCCTCAAAAGATTACGTCTAACTGTGACTGCTATTTTCTTACAGGTGCATACTGCTACACTCCTACACAAATAAAGAACCAAAACATGTTTGTCCTCCTAGACAAGTGTGCTTTTCCACCTCTGYGACCAGTGAGTTTTCAAACATAGGTAAATAAACATGCTGGCTGTATAAAGTCTCAACAAGCATCTAGCAGAAATCAGAAATTTAAACAAACACTGCCATCTACCACTGCAAAAATCTCGAAAAGCAGCTTCATGCTCTGCAACCTTCACCTTTAACTGGGCTTTACTGTATTCTCTGCCTAATACTTGCTGCCCACTCCTACCTTCTCAAGATGTGTTAGGATATCTAAGAGAACATCTCTGGAAAGCCAGTGAGGAAGACCTGCCCGCTTTATGAGCAACAAAACTACTGAACAGCAGTTCAGACTGATGTCCTAACTCTCACCATCCATCCATCCATCCATCCACACACACACTGTCTGCCACTGTTACATGACACCGGAATGAAAGAAAATTAAGTTTGTATTTCAGATATTCCCTTTCCCCTCCATGTCCTCAGATGCAGAAGCTCCAGCAGCAACACCAGTTAGTTCACAACACAAGAGCATTTACCACATCCCATTGCCTTACTTTGAGAGAAACATACGGTTTCCAGTAAAGTTCTCGTTCCTTGAATTTGCAACTACTTGCTCAAAGCGCCCTCTTGGTCTGCTCAGCGAACGGTCGTTTCTGTTTATCCACAGAGGAACTGGAACTTTGAAATTCCAAGGCTGGTTTTGTATGATATCTGCTTTCTTCTCTTCCCCATTTTTGGTGCTTACTGAAGACTTGAATTTTTCAGCAAACCCTGTCTTCGCTACCTCTTCTCCAATATCTGTTTTCTCGTATTCTGCTTGGACAATGATGGTACCATCCTCCTGTTTGGCTTTGTATCGTATTTTTATTTCTTTTTCAAAAACTAGGCTGCCCAAAAACTTCTTCCCCTGTAAAATAAAATGTTTTTTGGTTGTGCATTAGCCCCTGTATAGCTGAAATCAACCATCTTATATGGGATATGGGGAGAATGCAGCCTTAATTAAAAGAATAAGATGGATGCTGTGTTCATTACACTACGTATCTTCCATTTAATTAAAGCTGAAAAACAGCCCAAAGCTAATTTAAAATCATTCAGAAATTGAAATAGAAGGTAAATACAAAGGAACCATTGTGCACATCTGTCGTGCCCCAACTCAAACCACTCATTCAGAAATCAGAGAAGTGGCAGAACTGAAGCCACCAGTTTCATTAGCAGTAACAACAAAAGAGGGGCTTGAAAGGCTAAGGAACACACCCCAGATCTTCAAAAGACACTGCCAGGAAGGACATGCTGGTTTTGTTAAAATTAAAAGTGGAGTGAAGGCAGGGCAGTAAATGGGCAGTTTTACACAGTGTTCAGCTAGCAAACAGAGTTTCACTTAAAGCAGTAAGAATAGTCAGGGGAAAAAAATGAAAACCAATTTAGACTTGACTAACTGCATCAAGCAATATTAACAGGACCAAAAGAAACAGACTGTGCAAAGGGGTCTTAATTGCTCTTATGCACAGGAGCCCGTAAGGACAAGTCTGACCATGCCTTCCTGCTGCTACCACCTCCCTCCTCCTCTGGCCACGGCTGCTCTGGAGTGAGCAGCTCGCGAGGCAGGGGCAGCAGGAGCAGTGACAGGGCACWGAAAGCACACAGGAAAGGCTGCAGAGCAAGTGATGTGTGGGAAAAGGTTATCCCAGCTAAAAAAGGGGAGAACGGCACCCTAGTCACAGATAACATGCTGAATGGCTCTGCATTTTCAATCACATCACTACCAACTTTTGAGCCTTTTCCATTTGTTACTGACAAGGGGTGGAAATGGTGCTCCTGTGCTTTCTATGGACCTGGGATTTTACACTGCCACTAGGCAGGCAGCCTTCGAGCAGCTCGCCCCTCTGAGTGGGGAGAGACTGTTGTAACTCCTGTGATGCAGGAGGTGTTTTTCCCCCTGTAGGGAGATAAACAGCGGTACTGCAGCAGAAAGTTGCTGTTGGAGTCAAAAGTAAACCTGGACTCCAAATGCTGCAAGAACATACTCTAAAAATCACCTCCCTGTCACAGCCTGAAGGGATTTTTGACAAAGCCATTTTGGTTTCTAAAGTATATTAAGACATCTGACAGTATTTCCCAGCACATCTTGCCTTCAGAGTTAAACAGCCAGCACTACAAGAGTCCTCGGTGACACTATGCTGATACTTGGCATCATCTGGTGCATCCTTCATCCCCTCAGTCCTTCAGAACCTGTAACTCACCTGGTCAAACATGTTCAAGTTCTGATCAGTTGGGATCTGCAGTCCCCAGAGTTTGTACTTCTTGGCAACACTTGGACATTGCAAATCTGTTGGAATTTCAACTATTTCTGATCTGTTTAGAACCTCAGAGTTTCCATAATCAATGTACAACACCTGACACTGAAATAATCACATAAAATAAATATTAAAAGAAAAAAATATATGCATGTTGCAGTACTACCTCAAAGGTACTGATGAAAATCTTTCCTACTAAGCCCAGAACACCCTTCAGATGAATGAATTAAGAGAGAACTCACGTTTTCACCTGTTTAAAAATATAGCAACAAAACTTTCAGTGAGGGAAAAAGATTTTCACAGGCTACCTTCTCTTCTAAGAATTGGGATTGTAAATTAACACTGAGGCCTCCTACCATTTAAATTAGRAGCACTAGCCCCTTGTTCCAGTTACCCACACCACAGAATCCTTTCAGAAACCACCTGCACCAAGACATGTATTTCATTGGTCACACGTGAAGTCTGTCATTTTCATGTACATTTTTAAGTTAAATTACACCACTTAACACCACTAACTGTCAATTGTATCTCTTGATAAAGAGATAGACACAGCACCTCAGAAACATGTTATGTTTCACTGGTCTTACCAGCAGCTTTCAAAATAACACATGCATATTCATTGATTTTAAATAGATTTAGACAGTCAGTTTCAAAAACAGAGGAAGGAACTGCATTTTTTCTATCCTTCCACATGCAGAAGTGATATAGGAGTATGGATTACACAAAAACATAGCTCCTACCTTTTCATCATTAATCACTTGCTGTACTGTACATCTGTACCAACATCCATCTTCAGAAAAACACCCACCRTAAATCTGAAAATCAGAAGAGGAAAAAAAAAATGGAGTAGCATTGTGAAAACAGAAGCACACCTCAAAATAATATTTGTAATACACTACAAATCTTATTTTCACAGTCTTCTCCAATTGCCACAACAGCCGTACCAAAGCAAATGAATCCTTTCAACAGTCGTGTCTATTAACACTATATGCTAAAGTATATTACTATGCTAGTAATCTTCAGCAAGATCTTGAAGCCAATTTTGCAGATCAATGGCCGATTCATACATGTTCTCCTGCSTATGTGATATAAAACATTTTGACACCATTAGCTTCATAAACAAAGGAAGAAGTCAGACATGCCACAAACAGCAACCCTAGAATGCCTTTTTTTTTTTTTTTAACTAATGAAAATGTGACTAATGTAAAGCTCATTTTTCCATAAGACATCAGCACTTCACAAATTCAAATAAGTTGCTATTGCTTTGTATGCTCACCTCATCATGGAACTGCCATGAAATAGGTGGTGCTCCTGATTCTTCAGGATACCTTCCCCAGCATATTAAGCAACACAGGCTTTCCTAAGGTCTTACACACATTCAGAAAATAACTGAGAAAAGAATCACCTAAAGTGTGCTGCTCCCTCGATAAAGGTAACCCATAATGGATACTGGATAAAAAGAAAGAATTCAGCAATCTGTACATACTCTTTCTTGTAGCATTTCCTAAGTGTACACAATTTAAATGAATTAAGTCTAAAGTGTAGAAAGACAGACCTATTTTTTTTTCTCCTTATATTCCAGAGGCTTTGAGAATAAAACCCACAGTTTAATCAAAATCCAGGAAAACATTTTATAAAAAAATGGTTGCATAAAGGCTTTTATAACCAGTTAAAACACACATATACACTGTCCACTTACCTTATTAAAATCAGGCTTGCCAAAAATCGCATTAGCCCGAGGACAAACATCAGCCAGGGCACAACTCAATTTCAAGAGGTCGTTACACCTACTGACACTCTAAGTGTGGAGAGAGGTAAGAGTTATTAATTGTCACTTCTAGTAGTTGCTTGATGGCTTTTCACAGACAAAAAATTAAACCAAAATACACTGTTGTTGAGACAAGTAATGCCTCATGCACAATTTGAGCTGCATTTATAAACCCATTCTCCATTTTAGTTTTAGAAGAAAATGAGATCAAGGCAGATACAGTATCCCAGAGAAACACTTTACAAATAGTATTTTTAAATTCAATTACCAGGTTGTGAGAAGTATGTAGGTCTTACTTAAAAATCCTTCCTCACAAGCTCCAGTATGTGGGTTTTTTTGTTTGTTTTCTTTTTTTTTCTTAATATGAGAAGAAAACCGCTCTGGTAAACTCCTCATTCTCCTTGTTTGAAAGCCCTGTGTTTTGGTTTAGCTGCAAGATGCAAATCCTTTTTATTTACAACTCAGCATGTAAACCACTGCMAGACTGGGTCAGTTCAAGTTACACGACATTTATTAGATGTTATTCTGCTTGTAATTCAAAGCAGATTGACCAGAGCTCAGAGCAGGAAAGAAGACACTACTGTAACCAAAAAAAAAATTCTTATCAGAAATACACTCCTAACTTTTGTAGCTTATGTTATTAAGTAAAACACACCAAGAGAAGAACCTGCAGGAGGGGACATTATTAGCAACAGATAAAACACTCTGGGTGTTTTTTGTTTTCCTGCTCTTCTCGGGGGAGGAGGCCAGAARAAGGGGTAATTTTTCTATAAACAGAACCCAAAAAAGCTGAGCTTGGTCCACTTGGTCCATCTTTTTAGCAACAGGGCAAGAGGCAGCACCTCCAGGGACTAGTTCAAAGCTACACAGAGGCTGACTAACACAGACACATCTGCAGTCAGCAGATTGATCAGAAAAGGTAGGAGTGGGGACTCATCCTGGATCCTCCCCTTACCTCCAATCCCTGACCACCTCTCACATTCATAAAAATAACTGATTTTTATTTTAATCCCTCTCCTTCTCCCCACACAAACTGCCTGCTGTTTTACACAAAATTATTACTTTTCCAGAACTCACCTGTGCCCAGAACGTTACAGCATCTTCAACGTGGCAGCCAACGACATCTTCGACTTGGGGGAAGCGGGAGGAAAGACAGAGACCTGTTATTCTCAAACTTGACACTTCTATGATAATGATAATAATAATACATATGTGCTGTCATTACCTTTGTTGTATTCTGTGTCTCCATCCATGGCAGCGGTCTCTGAAACAAGACATCCACGGTTAAACAGGGGATAAGGTATTTTTCTGGGCGGATGCACAGGGCAGTTTTACCCAGGGAAAACTCCATCCGTCCCTCCGAGCAGCCCTAGCCCGGGGCTCCAGCCCTAGTCCCAGGCTCCAGCCCTAGTCCCAGGCTCCAGCCCTAGTCCCAGGCTCCAGCCCCAGCCCTGGGCTGCGCTGCTCCTACTGGGACCCCCTTCCCACTGCCCCCAGGCTCTGCACAGGGCCAAAGGGGGGACCTGCTTCCAGCAGCACTCCCGAAATGTAACCCTACTTATTACAATCACCAAATGCACATCCACTCTACTGCTTGATCCCCAAATTGCTCATTCTTCCACCTTCCAAAGGAGGAGCATGATTTTCTTTAGCTAGAATCTGTTAAAATGAAGYGGCCTTTAAAAAAATAAAAATATGAAGCAGCTTGTTTTTTTAATATTGATTAGCACGTAATAGTAAATCTTCACTGCTTTCGCCCTCGCCAGCCACGCGGGCTGAGCGAGCCCCCASAGCGCCTCCCGGGCCGCCCTCGCACAGCCGCCATTTAGACCCGCGCACCAAACGCCGCTCGCGACGCCTCCTCTTGCGGCCGACAAGACCCGCGGGCCAGCCCTCACCCGCCACACCGGGAGCGGCGCTACCCGGACGCCGCCGGCCGAGGCGGGACCCTCTTAACCCCGCGGGGGCGGCAGCGCAGCCGCCGCTACCGCCGCTCCCCGCGCCTCGGCCCGCGCCGCTGCCGCACGCGCTCGCGCCCGCTTCCCGCGCCGCGCATGCGCCGACCGCCCCGCGCCGCCCCCCCCGCGGCCTCTGCGGCGCGTCCCTCAGGCTCCTTGAGGGAAAATAGTCTTGTTTTCTTTCTCTTTTCTTTTTCTTTTCTCTTTTTTATTTTTATTTTGTTTTCTTTTTTCTTTTCTCTTTTTATTTTTTGTTTTCTTTTTTCTTTCTTTTTTTTTTTGTTGCTTTCAGATGATTTACAGGCTTCCCTTCAATGCTTATTTAAAGTAAAAATGAAGATCGTTGCAGCCATAGAGAGCCCAAACACATCCAATACAGAGGGCAGAGATGGGACTGCACAAGTGCCCTCTTCTAGCTTTGGCCTGGGCATTACCTAATAAGAGCGTTTGGGAAACAAGCCAGCCGGCTCTACCTGGAACATCCCAGCAAGTGTCTTTTCATAGGCGATTGGTATTTTTTCATGGTAAAGACACTAGYGTAGCACCTTTGCACCCATTTGTCATTCAGTAGGACTTGGTATCCACAAACATCTCCAAGCTTCAGAAACTGCCCCTTCTTCTCCCCACATCCTTCCCTCTTATCTCCCACAAGACAGATGCTAAGGCCTCTAAAAACAGCGTGGGCTTCTTGACAGAAGTGCTCTCTTATATTAGAATAAAAGAAACAGGTACACCCAAGTAAAGTCTTTTAGATTGGAAAACTTAGTTTATTTTTCAGTTATATTTGATGAGCTTTACAATGGTATTTACATATTATTGCCTGCCGTTTTAGACCTCGATAGCTGGAACAAAACCCCAGCACAGACTCTGGAGACCTGCAAAGCCTTTGTGACAAGGCAATCCTAAGCTGATACTGCTAGCCAGGGAACTGGCACATTCCCTTTCCTTCCAGACCTAAGAAAGAGGTACATCCATTTTCACATCTGGCATCAGAAAAGTGCAAAAAATGAAGGAACCCCTTCCCCTTTGTTTGGGATTAATCATCGGTTCTTCATTGTAAACAACCATATCATACACCCCCTTTCACAGGAAGATTAAAATTAGTCAAACCAAGGTGCTCCACACTCAGTGCATGTGAGAGGAGCAAAGTATTGATATGAAAGCCAACTAATTCAAAACGGAAAGGACGTGTTTCCTAAGACTTGCACAACTCCTCATCACCCCATTTACCACGKGTGAGAGCCCTTTGGGTGACACGTGGAGGTGGCTAATTTTTCTAGCCGAAGGGCACCTATGTGCCCACACAAAAATCATACAGATGACCTGATAACATCTCTTGTGTGCAACAGTCTTCTCTGTTCAAAGTTCCCAACTTCTCTTAGGGAAATAAAAAAATCACCACAAGGTACATATTCAACTGTTTTATTTAATGACTACCCTTAATGGCAAATACACGAGCATCTTGTCTCCACTTTTACCTYTTAAAGTGTAAAGAGATTTTTCAATAGGAGGTTGCAATTTTGATCTTGAAAAATTATACCTTTTTTAAGGATAATTTCTGTTTGGTTACTTTAAGGGTAATTCCATTTACATCTGCAAATTTTACTTCAGACAGCAGTCTCAAATTTTTACAACAAGCAAAAGTCTGAAATATCTTGTACCTTTATTTTCCTACAAATTATATACATATTAAAAATTCTGAAAAAAAGAAGGCATGCATACCAAAAACTATGCATGTATTCCTTCTAGGAACAAACTGAGTTTAATCTTTACTTAAAGGCTTATCTACAGAGTTGAAAGATGGTCAAAACTCCTAAGCAACATCCAATACACTTGACATTTTCATGGCCCCATATTCTTTTTCCAACTAAAAAAAGTGTCATTTAAAAAAAAGTTATTTATTTCAAGTATAAGACAAATGGAAACTTTAGGCATAAAATTTTATTTGTTTTGATAAAACCCATTATTGACAACTGAAAAGTACAGTTCAATAAAACTAAATTTGACACAGCAAACATATAATTGACAAGCATGTACTTTTAACTCAAAATCTCAATAAAAGCACAATAAATTATTTCCCAAAAATAGAATGTAATTTTCTCAGTGTAAAAATAAAACAAAACCACAACTTGTTATAGTCAGAGATTGCAATAGTTTCCTCTTTCAGTTTACAAACATTTTGCTCTAAAATATCACATACATTTTTGGAACTGGATTCCCCAATGAATGCAGCCACAGCAGAGGGAAAAGAAAAAAAAAAAAGAAAGGAAAAAAAAAAAAAAAAGGAAAAGCTTCCCCTATTTGGTTTGCAATCATCTCTTTGAGGAATAAAATCATTTTCCTATATTTTTATTTACAAATATTATTTACTTCTTGTTTTCTTGTGATAGTCCTGTGAAATATCCATTTACCTATGAGAGTAAGGCAAGGCTCTATAGTAACAATTGCTTGTTAAAAACAGTAGAGGGAGCTCAAATTAATGTTTTTATTTATTATATTAAAGTATTATGTAATATGGTAGATTTTGATCAGAAAGGTACATTTTAAATACTGAAATGTCTACTGAATGTTTAACTTGAGGTCACAGATTAACTCTCTGATGGGCATTGCTAGTAACGGTGTAACTAGTAAGGGGAGGTAAAGAACCTTTATTCCCATTTTACTTTGGGTGGATTAGCCTGTATTCCCATCTCACCCACGACTGCAGCCCCCTCCATCGGTCACAGTGTGACTCTCACAGTCCCCAGGAGTTTCCTTCCCAATCTGCCTCATTTCCTCTACCTGTCAGGCAGGGGCAGGTATCTCAGTGGCATCAGTGTCTCTCATGCGAAGCAAAATTTCACAAGTTGCTCCCAACCCTTGCTATACAGACAAAGCACACACATACCACCTGCAAAGTTTTGAATCCATGAGATAGCTTCAAATATTTTTAAGGGCAAACTGGCTTACACCCCATGTCCATTTTCAAAAAATCTAGCAAAGTTAACTCAGAGTCCACTTTTGTCCACCCTACTTCCACCCACACTGCAGACTTGGACAGGTATTCTGTGCTAAGGGCTTTCTGTGCTGCTTCTCAGATAATAAACACCATGTAAATTCAAAAAAGTTTATGTTTGTCTCTTCACTACCATTCTTCTTTATCATGTCCCTCAAAATGGGAGGTGCTTATATTTGTGCATATTCATAGCTGTGGAACATATCTTGAGTGATTCACAGTCTGCATTGGATTGGACATGATACAAAAGAATCCTTCAGGTAAAGAAGTTTGTATCAAACAAGATATATTTTTTTTAATGTGAAATAAATGGTTTCCATTTCTAACCAATGTGCTCAAAAGTTTAGTGTAATAGAATTAGGAAATCACTGCTGTGAACAGTGCCAAACAGGATGTGGAGGATTGTACTGTTACAGAGGACCGGGATAAAGCATAGAATCCCTTCAAATAGCTAGTATGTATGTGTGGACATCAGGCTACCAGCTTAGAGAATGTCAAATGTAAAAAATACTTATATATTGGCAAGAGCAGAACCTACAAAAGTGAAACACAGGGAAGTGTGTTTGAATTTTATACAAAGAAGATGAAGCTAACAGAAAAAAAAAGATTTAAGAAAACATGAAAAGTCAATTTAAATACAYATAACAAACCCCACCAAGTAAAAATCCATGAACAAGATAAGTAAGGACTCTGAAAGAAAGYGTGCCATGAAAGTCTAACAGGGCATATGATATTTACTTGCCCTATTAAAATGTAACACTTAAATATATGCTTATGCTCTCAGAGCTTAAATCTCTCTTCTGTAGAATACAGAATTTATTAAGCAGAAGAAATAAAAATAACAGTACGCAAGCAAGCACAGTGAGAAATATACTTGAATATAACGATAAACAGTACTGTGCTTTAAATAAATAACCTTTTCATCACTTTCCTGGCTTCTTTGATTGCACTGGACTTTTCTCTTTCCGTTTAGCTGCCTTCTCTTGTTTCAGCTGTAACAAACAAAGATATATCAATGGTTCAAGCATTAATTTGTAAGTAGACAACAACACAATATTGACCACTAATAAGCAGTCACAAATTAAACAGAGATGAATGGAATGGAATGGAATGGAATGGAATGGAATGGAATGGAATGGAATGGAATGGAATGGAATGGAATGGAATGCAACGGAACGGAATGGAATGGAGAGCCTTCTTAGCTCAGTCTAGCAGTGCTTACTTCTGTATCACATGAAAAAGAAGCAGCCCCCTAACTCTGCGGTTCCTCCCTTATTCAAACCAGAGCTGCTTTTATTTCTGGTAATGTCAATTTAGCAATTTACGTAGCCCTAAAKGCCAAAGTGCCTCACAAGCATCATGATTTCATCTTCAGACTACTTTAGAAGCAACAGTTGTTCTCAAGTATAATTCCGTAATTCCACAAAATACTACTTACAGCAACTATATGAAAAGGATGTGTACCATAAGGCATCTTGTACCTACCAAATATGCCAAGATTTTTTCTTTTTTTGGCTATAAAAGTATCAGAAGGAAGTAAGGCTCCCATTTTGATTTGAAGACCTACAGGTGAGCACACTGCTCAGCAATCCTGTTGGTCCATTGGTTCACACAGCAAAATTTAAAAGTTTTTCCATGTTTGGAGACTTGATGTCAGTATCTGAAATTCCTACCTTTTCTAAAGAACGTAAAATCTTTGAGGAAAAAAAGAAAAGCAATTTGCATTTAATAGTAATGCTCCCACACACAGAGCACTAAAAACTGATACTTTATCTGCAACCTCTTGTCACTTTAAGCTTTTATAAGCCAGGTAGTTATGCAACATTGCCTTGCAAAAAAATTAATAGTGAAGACATGCTTCCAGCTGACATGGTGGAGCTAAGGACAATGTGGAGAAAGAGGAGGTATTTCAGCATCTAAATAATGTTATATTATGTGGCATTTACTCAGTAGAATCAAGGGAATGGAGCAGGCACTTCTGAGACAGTGATCCTGATCGTCTGAAAAAGATGCACCAAATTTAACCCAACTACATAGATATTCCTAAGCAAAAGAGTATGAGGAAGTTTTGTGTATGAGGGTAACAAACATACACATTAAAAGGGATTTTTGTGAGTTTTGATCACACAGTAAAATATTCTTTTTTGTTCTGTAATGGAAATTTAACTCAATCAAATCAGCCGAGATAAGGCAAATATCATCCCAGACATGACAGCCTCTTAAATACTACAGCACCATGAAATCRTATTGCAAGGCTCATTTTAAAAAGCTAGTCTCAATACAATGCATTTATGGGCCACATCCTTCATATGTTTATCTTTYTCAGCCACACAATAAATCATCAAGTAAGAAATGGAATGACTTGCCCTTTCCTGATACCGTCTCTCAAAATAAGCCATGTCATCTTCTTCTGAACGCCCTTTGTGAGAAAYTTGTGTTGTAGCATTAGAAGCACCTAAAGGAAAGAGCATTTATATGAATGATATTTATATTTCACGTTTGGAAAAACACATTTAAAAATGAGATGCAGTAAAAAACATCATAAGCAAGTAATAAAATCTATTAAGCAGGACAGAAGAGTACAGAGTTGTAGTTAACATAAAAAGCTTTGGGGGAGCTCATCAGTAATGTTAACTGACGAATATTTATACTAAATGAGGGATATAAAATGAAACAAATATAACTGATGCCTAATTTCATGCTGAAGAGACATTCTGGCAGAAGGCAGTCTCATAGGTTTATATCAAATGTGCGTGTGAGTGCAAATGTATGTGCAAGTGTGTGTGTACAAATGTAGATATGCATTATGGATTTAGATACATGAAGCTCTTAAGTATATGCTTACTGTTGTACTATCATTTTAGATAACTAGGCTTCAATATTTGTTTTAATTTTCAACTTGATTTTACCCTTAAACATTACATTGACTGTAATAAAACCATATTAATAAACCACCTGCTATTGCTGAGCTGGTTTGAGCAGAAGTAGAAGGTCCTTGAAACGCTTTGAGAAAGGGATGATCCATGGCAGTAACAGGAGATTCTAAAAATTCAGTGGAAGGAGCCCCTGTTACAAAAATAATTGAAAACAATAATTAGCTTCACAAGATGTGTCAAAAACATAGTGCGATGTGGTCAAAACGTGACTAGACAAATCAACAACCCTGAGTGAAGATAAAATTAAACTTTAACTCAAAAATTTAAAAAGAAGAAAAACACTTTAGAGGATGGCTTCAACATAAATGAAAAAAAAAACATGTTTCTTTAATTACAACTGCTACAATATAGTTTCTGTATTTCAGGCAGAGCAAGGAAATCATATGGCAATCATAAATAAAACAGTATTTGAGGATAAAGTCAGTATGTTATTACATGACACAGAAGCAGACAGTACCAGAGATACCAAGACACACTAACGTGGGTGATCTACAAATTACCTCTTTTCTTTTTGTATGTTTAACAGTTATTAACTGAGGGTTTATTTAAGAAATCATTTTTGATTTCATCTGMAATTTGCCTTACACTGGAAGACAGAATCATGTATCATTTTCTGGATGGCAAACTTGAAGTGAATAACGAGCAAAATGGGACAATATAACAAAATCTAAYTCCTACGGGAAGCAATTTATTGAATGCGATTATTCCCTGCAAAAACTTTCGCYTAATGTTGTGACCTGTAAAAATGCAGTCAGTAAAGTTTGCAGATGGAATACAAAATGGTTGAATGGCAAACAAAACTGGTCTATCAATTAAACAGAACAGTCTGGATTATTTGGTAGATAGGCACTTTCAGACAACATACATTTTAGTACATGTTATTGCAGATTTCAGCATCTAAGAATAAACTATGTGAATTCTACTTAAATGGAAAATGTACATACTTAAATTGYACTTAAATGGAAAATGGAAATCTATGAATTCTGAAAAATTATGTGCGAACTGTATAATCAAGGAAATCTCAAGGCAGTATTAGGGTTAAAGGATTAATGTAGGTATAAAAGGGATATATAAGAGTGAAGAAGAAATCAAGTTCTTTCTAGAAGATGTGCTAGAGTACAACCAAAAGCTACTACGCTTAACAGAATTATCAACAAAAAGCATTTTTCGAAGTATTTGCTCCAGGAAGTTGGACACAGTCACAGTGATCTCTCTTCAGACCTCAGGATCTCCGAAAATAAAAGTAAAGTCTGTGTTTTTAAGTCCTATTCCTCTTCATCCAATTTATCTTCCAACTTTTAGGGCCTGTGTAGGATTTTTACTTTTCAAAAATACGTGGTCTGAGAATTGAAATTTCAACTCGGACCAAGTGCACTTACCAATTCCACTATCATCAAGCCTCATATAGCCTTCTGCTAGAGAGCTAAAGCCAGTGAGGCCTCCCATAGCAGCGTAAGGCACATCCTGCCCCACAGGCCGTCCTTGGGCTAACCGCTCTTCTTTGGTTTCCACTACTGTCTCRTGAGCGTATGTTGGCTGCCCACATCCACAGGTAAAGCAACTATGAAATCCTGAGCACTTGGAGCCTAATGAAAACACAAATAGGTATTACGAATGAGAGGATAATGGAAGATATATTTCACAGCTGACAAAAGTCATTTCTCCAAACTGATGGTGTCAGGAACTACCGAGTTTCTTCACTGCCAGAGCATCCAGCCAGGCTTCCTGTTTGGAAACTCGTATGTGACTCTGGCAAGGCCATCAGYAGTCATTGCAGCAGCCTTTTAGAGTCCTTTTCATCATTTCATCTTTTACATGATATGAAAATGCCTTGTAAGACAGCAGAAAGGACAATTGTGAGGTTTTGATCAGGGGAATCACAAATCTGAATTCTGCCCTTGGAGTCAATCCTTGGGCAGGGCCAGTAATGCACTGGTTGTGCATTCTGTTCTCGTGTTTGGTCCAGGGAAATCAGCAAGGAAGAAGGCATTTGACCAACAACATATGAGTAAAATGCACTGCTTTGGTGGCTGACAGCAAGAGTTATCAATCACCTTCCATGCCCAATTACTGCACTTACTTTCCAAATGGACAGAAAATCAGGTAAGTCACAGCAGCACACGGTACCTTGAGAGTAACCAGCAGGAGGACTGCTGAATCTGGGATGCTGAATGGTTTTGTGGATCAGTCACGGGGTCTGACCCTTCAAAATCGCAAATCATTCTGCAACGTTTGACATACGGATTCAACACAGCTCAGAAAAAGAAGGCACTTTCCTTGCAGTTAGTATTAATTTTGCCTTCTCTTTAAAGCAAGAGTACTAATCTACCTTGAAATACAATGAGCAGGAGGAAGATACAAACCAAAGTATATATTTGCATTCTGCTTGAACCTGGAAACTCTGTAACAATCAAAATTTCTCATTTTATTATTCAGTGATACAACCTCCTTTCATCTTTTGCTGAATTCCTTAAAAACTCYAGACAGGTCTGAAATTATTATCTAGTCTCACTCACAGTGATGCTGGCATTATGGAAAAAAAGACAGTATCACAAAATAATCAAAAGTCAGAGGGGATCTCTGCAGGTATCTGCTCCAGCTCTGTGACAGAAGGAGAGCAAAATTAGGGTGGGATGTGAAGGGTCCCTCCCCACCAAGTTCAGTGCATCCTCAAGGAGGGGAGCCTCCCACCTTTCCACAGCCTCTCCGAGCAGCCTGTTCCAACACCTGACTTGCCTTGAGCACTTCTCTCTCAGTGTTTAATCACAATTTCCTATGTTGCTGTCAGTAACACCCTTCTCTTCCCCTCCACTCACCCCAAGATCAAATACATTCATACCTGTCACGGGGTGGAGAAGTCAAGCTGCCAGAATCCTGTCAACATTATCTCCAAAACTCTACAGCAGGTGCTAATGCAGCATAGCAAAAAATGCTTCTAGCCCCCATTTRCAAACAAATCACATAATTTAGATATCAATCTTAAAAAAACAGAAAAAAAGAAAGATCCTGGTAGTAAACAGGGACTATGCTAACAGCAAAATAGGTTTAACATAGCAGACATCAGAGCCCTACTGGGACAATGAGGTCAATAGATTATTTTGGGGGGGGAGGAAGGAACCAAACACAACCCTCCCTCTCTATTCAGATACATTATACAGTACATACAACATATATACAGCCAAACTGCAACATCACATCCATTACAGAAAGATTACACCTCTAATTTACTTACTGCATTAGGCTTAAACAACCCTGACTTAGACTAACACACGTAGACTAAAATTATAGAATTCCAGATGTGAAATAAGTTGTGGCACTCCTCAATGTAACCTTTGTGTCCCTCAGAAGTGTCAGGTATTTTGATAAGCAATAGAAAAATAAATCTAAAAATCATGTACAATGTAAAAGATTACTAAAAACACTCTGTTCTAAGGGTTCAGTTTGAATCATCCAATTGCACATTTAAGAGTCTCTCACACATTACTTAGAGGAAATTCTTGAAAAGCTGTCACATTTTATGTACAATTCTGGTGAACGATACTCTCTTTTCATCCAACTAAAGCTGTTTATTTTTCTGTACAGATTAAATAGACTTCAAGAAAAAAATTACTAACAGTGCAGAGCTCTAACAAGAAAGTCTTCAGCTTATGCAATTCAAGGTTTCAAAGAAAAGCAGCCTTATGTACTATTTAATTTCTATGGTTAATAATTACTGCTGTTTCAGTACAATAACCTTAACCAACTGAAGCAAAAAGCTTTCTCTTAATTCAAAGCAGCATCTTTTCCTTCAACCCTTTGCATTTCCAGACACACAACCTGTAGGTTTGAGATCCCTTTTCTTTTCAGAGTGACCACAATAGCACTATTTGGGAACAGAGTGTTGTTTCCTATTGAGTTGAGAAAAGACAAGACAAATATATTAATATTAGAYGCAACTAGGCAATAGAGGAATGGAGATAATCACCTCTCTCTCTCAAACTACCAAGTTCAAGTAGAAAAATCATTTGTATGCAGCAATGGAAGTGACAAACTAGAAACAGGGTGTCTTCATGCTGCCTAACTTCAGGTGGCTGGTCTCCATATGTTCCCAATCTCATCAATGAGGAAACTTATGCTCCTTTGAAGAATCTGGGCAAACTAAGAACACTCTTCTAAACCACTCTAAGCCAAAAGCCATGTCTTCCTTCCCATTTCTCAACCTTCCAGAAGAGCCAAAATATACATCAGTGACAAGTGCAGCCCATGCCTAACACTCTGGGCAGAACGCAGACCCTTAAATGCAAACCCTAAAACCTTATTCCTGTTAAATTTACTGCAGGGAAGGCTGCAACCACATATGCAACTTACAGGAGTTACATGAAAATCCAGGGGCTGCACTGTGCTGATCAGCAAAATGTTTGCACCGACACCGAATGGGCTGCGTGCCATTCAGAGGAACATAGTGATAGGACTGGCACTGACAGCGGCTGACCCTGCAGGGCACGCAAATGGGACGATCCTTCGGAATCTCTTCATAGTCAGTTTTGTGTTGCTTGTATCTAAAATAGACAAAAATAATGACATTTATAACTTTGTTAGTATTTATCCAAGATTTAATAAAAGGCTTGTAATTTAGTTTACGTGTTATGTGTTGAAGTACCTTTAAATATCTTCAGAATTGTTTGTTAATTTTCAATTAGATAGACAATATCAATTGCTTTCACATTCATCTCTTATATGAATACCACAGATATTGTATTTGGACAGCACTAGACCAGTTTCCTTCTGGTCTACAATATCTCACATCATGAGGGCTAGGCTGAATTTACTGAAGACTACAAACTTTTGCTGCTCTCAAAAGTTACTTGAGATTTTTATTTAAGAACTTTTCTTATCATTGAAAACTTTTTTTTTTTTTTTTTTTACATTAACTTCCCTATACTGTACTGTAACGTATCTGGAAATATTCTACATCTACATCTAAATAAATAAATAAATAAATAAACTCATGGAAAGATAATCCTACCGATGAGTACAAAAGCACTGGGTCTCTGGCCCCACAAGTTTACAGTCCATGCCCGTGGGTGATCTCCAGCTCACATACAACCTGTTCTTTAACCGAATTGGTATTACTTTTCTTTTGTATTCTTCATATTCCTCGGGGGTAAAGAGCTTTCCTCCATCATCATCACCGACAATTCTGCAAGCATGTCATTAAAAAAAAAAAAAAAGAAAAAAAAAAAAGAAAAATGAACAACATGGAAGTTGGCTTCTCAAGCTATTTTTACAAACAATACATAGCAATAAATGAGTAAAGCAATGCTAAAAATGAACCATGACTCTTTTTGGGCAAGTTAATCGAATAATGCTTTTTAATAAATTTGTGCTGATGCCTGAAAACTGTCAACAGGAGTTGTATGAAAAAAAAAAAAGCAAACTATGAGGTTTCTCTTCATAATGCAGAAAAAAATAGACTTGCCAGCAACAGTTGTAGTGTCTGCCTGAGCTCTGACAAGTCACTTCACATTCACGTGTCTGTACTTCTGTTAAATTACCTAACCTAAGCATAATTTATCCCTAATTGCGGCACGTAATGATGCTGGAGGGTAGTTTATTGATGCCCGTAAATACTTCAGTTACTATTTATTTGCTGTATAGAAACATAATACACAAATGCAGGGAAGTGACAAGATTCACTCCTGTCAGTTATCCGTGCAGTCCAGCAACACTTCAACACGTTATCACCACACACGTGCATGGGGGGAGTCGATACCTGCAACCTTTGCTGTTTGGAAAGAAATGAGAGTGTGTGCATCACTGATGCTTTAAGGAGGCTCTTTTAAGCTAAATTTCTTATGCTAAATAATACATTTCAGTAGAGCAACTGAATGTACGTTTATTTTTTCTCGGGGTAAACTGCTCAGCAGGAGGGACGGCCAGATTGGCCGGAGCCCCTCAGGGCACAAGGGGCTCGCATTTATGCCCAAGGAATCGCACCCCGGAGCCCGAATTCCCCAGGGAGCAGCACCGGCCCCCCTCGCACCGTCCCTCCAAAGCGGGGGTCCCTCGAACGGTCCCGAGCGGGGGAACGCGGGGCCTTTCCCGCCTCCCTGCAGAGTCAGCCTCCAGAGGGCAGCTCTCCAGGGCGGATATAGGGGACGTGCGGAGCCGCTCGTCGCTGTTCCCCGGCTCCCTCAGAACAACATAACAGGTGTATATGAATAAAGAGGAGAATAAATRAAGCCCCTCACTGGAAAAAAAGGAGGCACGAGCACGTTCACAAGGACCCTCGCTAAGTGCGGGGAGGAGGGAAGGGCAAAGGCGGGCAGGGGGCTGCGGGAGGGCAGGGGCCGCGGTTCCGGATTCAGACAGGGGCCGCGGTTCCGCCAAGGGCCGCGGTCGGACACGGGCCGCGGTTCCGAGCGGGTCCGCCCCGCAGAGGTGCCGTGCGGGCCCGGCGGCCGCGGGCTCCCGGCTTGGCTCGGCTCGGCTCGGCGCGGTTCGGCTCGGCTCGGCTCGGC